CATTTTGTGTGTTTTACCTTTTTCGCTTTACAAATCTAGTAAACAATCCTAGACCCGATCTAGGACTGTTTACCCGGTTAGGTAATTTACACCATCAATGTGAGAAGGTCCATAAAAATGATATGCACCCAAAGTGCACCAAAGAAGCACTCATTGGTAGTTATTCCCTTTCTAATATTAATTGTGTAACCTCCCTCCATTGATGGTCATCTCTCTCATTTATGTCCATAATAATTCTTCGTCCCAAAGTATTTTTGTCCACTTTTGACTTTTTTTGGTCAAAAGTAGTAAACATTGATCCTAAATTGAATAAAAATAATAATATTAGATACACATAAAACACTAGTTTTATTAGATTTTTTATATAATATATTTTCAAAATATTATTTTATCTAATTAATATATAATATATATTTCATTTAATTATAGGTCAAAGGTTGAAAACGGTTGACTGAAAATATCAAAATTGGACAAATACTCTGGGAGAGAGGTAGTATGATTTATTATTAGTTGTGAATAAAATATTCTTTTGATATTTTATATGGTATCAAGAGCCAACCAAGGAGTCATCTTCCTTACTCCCTTTTTTTGGTCACCACTAGACTTGGTAAAACAGAACCAGAACCGCTAACCTGAACCAAATTATCCGAAATTGAAATGATCCAAAAAATGAAGATCCAATCTATTACCGAAAAGTGGAGGTCTAACGGTGGAGTGTCCTTCACTTAATCCTGCATACGACATTCTCAACAAAAAAATATAGATCGTTCTCTCAACCGGTTAAGGCTTGTAGAGAGTTAGGCTCCGATACCAATTGTTAGAATAAGTGCCCTTCACTAAAGGGGGGGTGAATAGTGAGGCACGAGAATGTTTATAAATTTTCGCAGAATAAAAATCGCAGGATAAAGTAAAGAGCGGAATAAAAAGGAGTAAAGGGAGCACACCAAGATTTATACTGGTTCACCACAACGTGTGGCTAGTCCAGTCTCCCGAGAGACTCTCTCGAGCTACACTACTTCCGTTAAGCTTACGAGTGCTTAACAAACCGTTACAACCTGAGAACTCGAGTCCCACGAGCCTCAATACACTTGCTCGGAGATACCGCACTCCAAGACTTCAACCCGAAGGAAAATACCTTTCCTTCGTACAACCAAGGGAAACAAGCTTCCCTAAACGTGTTTACAACACTAAGAATACTCAAGAACAAGACTCTCTTTAAGAGTAGATGTTGAGTAAACTATATACGCTCAAGAACAACTCAAACCTCACAAATTAGCTCTAGAAAGCTATGGAAAATAATGTTGTTTGGATGCAATGATAATATGAATAAAGTGAAGTGAATTGATGAGAAAAAGCAGACCCAAACACCCCTTTTTATAGTGCCAAAGTAGGCTCCAACGGACCAATGCATTAAAGGGATGATTGGCTTGATTTATGGGATTGATGAAAATGTAGATCTGCAGGATATTGGCTTTTCCAGCAATGTATGGACTTACCCATCGCTAGTAAGCGAATTTTCCTTCAGTTTTGAAGCCAACGGTCACCTACCCATCGATGGGTACAAGCTTCCCATTGCTGGGTGGGAGGTTGACTTCCAAACAAGGAAAGAATCAACCTTAAATGACTTCCAACGGTCATGCCTTCCCAGCCATGGGTATGCTCTCCCATCACTGGGTTCCCATCGATGGGTTCCCATCGATGGGTAAAGGTTCCCATCGCTGGGTAAGGGCATTCTGCCTTGTGATAATGTTGGACCAAGGCTTGAACAGCGATGGGTAGAACTTCCCATCGCTGTTTGGCATGGTTCTAGAAATCAGTTGGGCTGAAGGCTGCTTACCCATCGCTGGGTAATATCTCCCATCGCTGGGTAGAATGATTCTGGAATCCCGGGATCACTTACCCATGGATGGGTGGTATCTACCATCGCTAGGTAGATGGCTAGCTGTTATACCCAAGCTCAGGTTTTTAAAGGAACTATCTTGTTAAGAACAGGGAAGAAATAATCGATTGTCCAAGGTGGATAATCGATTATCAGGGGCTTCAGTTTCTGGGGGCAATTTTCTGGGGATTTTCTGGGAGGGGAGATAATCGATTTACAGGAGGTGTCAATCGATTATCGAGGATGGCAGGTTTTTTTTTGGAAAGGCTGATAATCGATTATTGGAGATTGATAATCGACTATTGAGGGCTGCAATTGTTTCACGAAGGATAGATAATCGATTTCCAGTGGGGATAATCGATTATTTGACAGCTCGAGACAGGAACAAGGTACTTCTTTGGAAAGAAAAATAAACCAAATTGGTGTTAAGGGATATTACACACCCTTATCTTAACTTGGGGTTGAATCTAGCATTTAAATAAAATATTACACACTTACTTAAATAACTAGAACCTAAAACTCACACTCAAGAGAACCACTCTTAAGATATAGGATTAGGAATTTGGAATGAAACACACAAGTGGATCACTTAGATTAAAATTGGAATACAATATGTGTTTACAATGCTCAGGGATGAGCTTATATAGGCATAGAAAAGGAAGACTACCAAGTCTCTTATTCACACAAATTAAAGAAATTAATGGCCACTTGTTGATGTTCCTTTAGTGGGAAAAACACAGGGATTATTGTACTTGTAGGGCAGGATTTTGGCTATTAATGGTGGGAGGGAATATGTGAATATAATTCACAATTGATTGGCTTAGGTGGGGTTGTTTTGGGCAGGAGAAAAAGGGTGGGGTAGCAGGTTATTTGGAGGTATTTCCTGGGCTGGATATGGGGTAAAAACATGGGGAATTGAGGTGTCTTGGATTTTATGGCTGTTTGTTTAGCCAAGTTGAGGTGTAAAGGAGTGGTATTGGCAGGGTTGTGGCATGAGGTTTTTGGCCAGGGATGAAGGAAAAATAAATGTAGTTTAGGGTTTATTATTTTGGATATTTTGGGGTTTGGATTGGATGAGAATGGCTGGGCCTTTTAAGTTGGAGTTGGGCTCAGGGAAATTATGGCTATGTGGCGGGTTTTAGATTGACAAGTTCGGTCCAAAAGGAATCATAACACTTAGCCATTATTCCGTTAATTTGTTTAACGACTTTAGAGTCGTTGGTAGTCGCCCGGGGTATATCATCCTCCCCTTCTTCAAAAGAGTTTGTCCTCAAACTCGGAATTTCTTCAGGCTCAAAGTACGGGCTGATGTCCTTGACATTGAAAGTAGCCGATACTCCATAATCTCCCGGAAGGTTAATCTTGTAGGCATTGTCATTGATTTTCTCTATGATTTCAAACGGGCCATCGGCTCTTGGCAGCAACTTTGACTTGCGTTTCGTGGGGAAACGTTCTTTCCGAAGGTGAATCCAAACTAGGTCTCCTGGTTGGAAGTGGACGTTCTTCCTTCCTCTGTTGATGCGTGCACTTACCTTCTCGTTTATAGCTTCAATCTTCTCTCGAACCCTAGCGTGAAGGTCTTGGATTTCCTTTGACCGCTTGTCCACTTCCCAACTGTATTTGGTTTCCGTGATGATCAGATCAAGTTCAAGTGGGGTCAAGGGGTTCGAACCATAGACCACCGTGAATGGGGATAGTCCGGTAGTCTTGTTCGGGGTTCGGTTGTAGGCAAACTCGGCGTGTGGAAGAAGCTCCTCCCATTGCTTGATGTTCTTCTTGATGAGGGCTCGTAAGAGTGTTCCCAGGGTGCGGTTGGTGACTTCGGTTTGGCCATCGGTTTGTGGGTGGCTTGACGTACTAAACTTCAGTTTAGTACCCAATTTTCTCCAAAGAGTCATCCAAAAATGACTAAGGAATTTGGTATCTCTGTCCGATACCATGCTTCAAGGAACGCCATGGAGTTTGACTATCTCTCGAAAGTAGATATCCGCAACTTGTGAAGCATCATAGGTGGTAACACATGGCACGAAATGAATATAGCTCAATGAAGATATTGGAGTGCAAGAGTTGTGTGTAGAAATGAAGGAGAATGAGTGATTAAATAGGCTGAGGATAAAAGATCCGTTGGAGTAGATTGAGAATAGACACCAGACAATATTAATCGATTAAACTAAAGCCTTTAATCGATTAAGGTGTGCAGAAGCGAAAAGGTCTTCTGCACAAGTGCAAATTAATTGATTAAATTTGACAAAATAATCGATTAGATGGTGCTGTCTCAACTAATCGATTAAATGAAGAAGATTAATCAATTAATTGGAAAAAAGTCTTCAGCGAGAAATGCAATCTTAATCGATTAAGTTTGATGGAAAAATCGAGAGAACTAATCGATTAAAAGAATAAGAAAAATCGATTAATAATGAAGGCTTGAGAAATCCGGAACTAGATCTAATCGATTAATTTCGAAAAATTAATCGATTAAAGTAGAAATAATGCGCAAACATAAAGGGCCCAAGCCAAGTGCGATTGGAAGCCTTTGGCTTCTAACTCAGTAAAATATTTTTAGACAGAGGTAAAGTAATTTTTCAACTAACTCAGAAAATAATAATTTTTATCCCTCAAAAATAATTTGTTTGTACAGAAAATATTGTCATCCTTACAAAGATTCCTAGACTTAATTAAAATAAATCTTCGGAGTCTTCACTTCACTTCAAAAACTTTCTGCGTAGGGGTAAGCCTTGATTTTATCTTGATACGCCTCTTTGCTTTTCTCGATACGAAAATAAATTTTTGATCAGCTTGAATTTAATCATCCTGTTTGTCATTCACCAAAACAAAAAAAATATTCCAGAAGAAATAGTAAAGGGGTTTGAACTCATGTCCAACAATTTCTCCCTTTTTGATAATGACAAACATAGTTGAGAAAGAGCAAAGTAAGAGTTCAAAAATTACTTCCTTTTAAGAATAATTCCCCCTGCAAGGTTAGAGAAATGAAAAATATCGGAGTAAAAAGTGGAAAAAAAAGTTTTTAAGAAAATTTTTTCTCAACTATCCTTCCTTCCCCCTTTTGGGATTATCAATCGATAACCTTCCCCCTAAATCAATGCCGGGATATTGAAGGATAAATTTGCAAGAAATTTTCTTAAAAAAAAACTTCTAACAGGAATGCCACAAAGGGACAATATGTTCTAAAAGAGAACTACATTGCCAAACACACAAATACATAATTAGCAACATAATCATACATCAAAAGAGTCATAACAATAACAATAGCAAATAACAAAATATCATAATAAGTCAAGATAGAAGGAATAAAATCAAAGAGAGTTTGCCGGACGAGCTCCTCCGCTAAAGCTGTGACGCATGCCTTGGTAGGAGCGGGATTGCTCAAAACGAGTCATCCTCTCGTTGAGCTGGCAAACGTCATCTCTGATGCACGTGAGAGTATCGAAGATCCTCTTCACCCAAGAAGGTTCCGGTACTTCTTCTCTTGGACGAGTCCTGCGTTGACGGGTGACGCGCTCCGTGGCTCGACTTCCTCCGGCACGAGATGACTCAGCTTGAGTCTTGTTTTGGCTCTCTTCTTCTTCTGCGACTATCAGATCCAGATTTGCACGAGATGACACGATCCGGGAAAACTTGGCTTTAGTGATCAAACAAGTCTTCTTGACCGGCACCTGAGTATCCCGAGTAAAGTCTATTTTGCAATGAGCAAGGATATGCATAATGGGGATGGCAAAACGGAGATGGGAAAAACGAGTGCCATCGCTAAGTGCAACGATAAAGAAGTGAACCTAATCAAATTTGACATCGTTCAACAGGACGTGAAACAAACGAATATCGTCCTTGTTGACAACGCCATGGTTCGAACCACGGGGCAACAAAACATAGGAGAAGATGTATTGTTGGATGCGTTGGATTAAAATGAGATTAATGACACTCGCGTTTCTAGAATTTCTAAACTTGAGGTCACGATGATCTAACCCGAGTTGTCGCCAAATTGCCTCATCTTGGAATGTTTCATCTAAGTTTTCAGTAATTTCACCTCGACGAAGGCCAAACAGAGAAGTCAAACCGGCACCGTTAATGAAAACGGTTTTGCCGTCAACATAGGAAATGAGAGATGGCGAGTCTCCCTTAGTGGTACGAAGATTTGCATAAAATTAACGTATAAGATTTGGAAAAAGAATTCATACGTCAAATGGATGAAACGAAGCAATCCTTGCTGAGAGAAAAGAGACTTACTCGGGGCATAGGTCGCCAATTTGAAGAGGTCCTTGTTCACGATCTTAGGTGAGACGATCTCCTTCGTGAGAAAAATGTTGTGGAACCTCTCGGCTGAAGCCCCAGTGTTGAATTCGAGTCCGGTTTGTATGTGGATGTACTTGCTCCCTTCACGACGCCATGGCCTCTCACCTTCTTCTGCCGCCAATTCTTGACGTGATGAAGCGTTCTTGCACCTAGGCATCCTTCCTCTTTGAATTTGATGAATTTTGGTGAGAAAAATTTGGGAGATTGTTGAAGAAATAGGCGGAGAAGATCGAAGGAGGGAGCTAGGGTTTTCCTGTCTCTGGTTCGTAAAAAGAGAATGGCGAAGAAGACGAAGACTGGCTGATATAAAGAGGGGAAAAAATCGAATATTAATCGATTAAAAAAAAGTATTTAATCGATTAAGGAACATAGCCGAGGAAAATCGATTAAATTAAACTTATTAATCGATTAGAAGTGGAGCAGAACCAAAAGTTTGCGCTTCAAGCTATTAATCGATTAAGATGGACAGATGAGTCTAATCGATTAATTTAACAGGATTAATCGATTAAAAGTGAAGCAGAGCTGAGGAAGGTTTCCTTGAAGGATTTTAATCGATTAACAAAAGGCCAGTAATCGATTAAGAGGGACAGAGGCGACTAATCGATTTCTCTTCGAGGAGTTATCGATTAAAACTTGTTTGAATGAAAAATCATCAAGTCCAATTCGGTTGAATACCAAGGGAAGAGATACCTGCAATAAAAGCCCTCGGTAGCGCTTGATATCTACCTCTTTACCTTTTTCGTCCTTGTCGAGATAGCAAGAGGTGCTCATTGGTGTGTCAATGGATTTGGATTCGGTAACATCAAATCTTTTAAGCAATTCCCTGCAATATTTCGTTTGACACACGAATGTTCCTTCTTTGCATTGTCTAATTTGCAGCCCAAGGAAGAACTTTAATTCTCCCATCATCGACATTTGAAATTCACTTTGCATCATATCGGAAAAATCCCTACACAAAACCTCTTTAGTAGCACCAATTATGATATCATCTACGTAAACTTGAACCAAAAGGATGTCTTGGTTATCTTTCTTGATAAAAAGAGTAGTGTCGACTTGACCCCGTTTGAACTCATGGTCCAAAAGAAATTTGCTTAACCGTTCATACCAAGCACGAGGTGCTTGTTTGAGACTGTAAAGCGCCTTTTTGAGTTTGAAGACATGTTCGGGAAACTCATAGTCTTCGAAACCCGGGGGTTGTTTGACATACACTTCCTCTTGAATGATACCATTAAGGAAGGCACTTTTAACATCCATTTGATAAAGTTTAAAATCCATTGTAGATGCAAATGCAAGCAATAAACGAATAGCTTATAAACGTGCAACCGGTGCATAAGTTTCTTCATAATCAATGCCTTCTTCTTGATTGTAGCCTTTAGCTATAAGCCTAGCTTTGTTTCTAGTGATTATTCCATTTTCATCGAGTTTGTTACGAAACACCCATTTTGTGCTAATAACGGAATGATCATTAGGTCTAGGCACCAATTTCCAAACATCATTTTGTTTAAATTGGTTAAGCTCCTCTTGCATTGCCATAGACCAATGTTCATCATTAATAGCATCCAAAACGGTTGTTGGTTCAATTTGTGAAACAAAGGCCATGTGATTAATTGTGTTCCTAAGAGAATTACGAGTAGAAACTCCCTGCGTTATGTCACCAATGACATTGTCAATCGGGTGGTTCTTCAATGTTCTCCATTCCTTAGGAAGCTCCGTTTGTTCCTGCGTTTTNTCCTCTACGGTCTTAGTACGCTTGTTGAACACTCTATATGCCTTACTACGAAGAGAATAACCTAAGAAAATTCCTTCATCCGACTTAGCATCAAATTTTCCCAAGTTATCTTTTCCATTATTATGAATGAAAACTTTACATCCAAAGACATGAAAATAGGAGAGGTTAGGCTTTCTTCCTTTGTAAAGTTCATAGGGCGTTTTCTTGAGTATCGGTCTAATGACGGCTCGGTTTAACACGTAGCACGCGGTACTCACGGAATCCGCCCAAAAATATTTAGGAAGGTTAGCCTCATTGAGCATAGTTCTAGCCATCTCTTCAAGAGACCTATTTTTCTGTTCAACCACGCCATTTTGTTGTGGTGTATGGGGGCCGAGAAGTTATGCTCAATTCCTAATTCGTCACATAAGGCGTCAAAGCCATCTTGATCGAATTCTCCCCCATGATCACTTCCAATGGATTAAATGTGAGAGTCTTTTTCATTTTGAACCAATTTAATGAATTTCTCAAAAGCATTAAGTGCTTCATACTTATGAGCAAGAAAGAGTGTCCATGTAAACCTCGAATAGTCATCAACGATAACAAAGCCAAAGTAATTACCTCCTAAACTCATAGTTCATGAAGGTCCAAAAAGGTCCATGTGCAAAAGTTGTAATTGCCTAGTCGTAGAAACAACGTTCTTTGACTTAAATGAGGCCCTTACTTGCTTCCCCTTTTGACATGCATAACAAATTAGATTCTTCTCAAACTTAAGTTTAGGAACACCAATTACTAAGTCTTTAGAAACCAACTTATTAAGATGTGTTGTACCCCACCATGCATCACCAAAGGGTAAGCAAAATCAGGAGTTAATGCTTAATTGTTATAATCCTTATTGGGTTGAATTCATTCCTTCTTTCCATCAAAAAGCCCAAACCATAACCCTTGCTGCCCAAAACCCTCCCTAAGCCAAACCATAACCCATAAACCTTCTCCCACAAACATCCAAAATCATTTTATCTGTCCAAATAAAGTCTTTGTTATTCATTCCTAAGCCTAGGCCGAAGGTGAACAACAAAAGGCAGAATAAAACCTTTGTTTATTTTTTTTAGACACAATAATGGATTATCCAACATAGATAATCGACTATTGCTTCCCTCTGAATTCTCCTAACATAGTCCAGCAATGCTTCATAATCGATTATCTCCCAATTGATAATCGATTAACACTCATCTCTGAAAATATCCGGTTTGATGAACCAGTCCTTGTCAATCGATTATTCCTGAAGAGTTAATCGACTATTTGACGCCTCTGAAAATTCTGGGTTTAGAAAACGTATCTTATTAATCGATTATCAGTAGGCGATAATCGATTATCACACAACCCTGAACTCAGAAATCAGTAAAATGGTCATTGATTGAACAGGAAATGTTTTGTCATTTAGGAACAAACTTGGCCATACACCATGGACGAAATTCTCATGTTATTATTCAACAAAATCAAAGACTTTTACAATACAAAACAAAGTTTAATCCTTCATCCATGTGCCTGCCCAAAAAGTCTTTGATTGAATAGTAATATCTTGTCCTATTACTCACTAAAAGTCAATCCATGTTGTTTCCTTTATTCTCCCACCTTAAGGACGAAAATCATACATTAAGACCACCCAAAATACATGCCAAATCCCTGATCATTAGCCTTGAATTCAACTCATTTGGGATATTAACACATGCACAGCATTTGTTTTATTTTGTAGTAAAGAAGTGGGAAGTTTCCTTTGTTGTATTTTATTTATCAAGTAATCATGTTTGTTGTATTGTTTTCTCCATTCCATGGCCTATATATTTCAGCCCTGGTTCATTGTATTAATCAGCTTGTAAAATATATTGTGATAATATAAGTTTCCTGCTCAGTTCTCTCTCTAAGTTCTCTATATTAAATCCTAATTCTATATCTTAAGAGTGGTTCTCTTAAGTGGGAGTTTTAGGTTCTAGATATATTAAATAAGTTGAGTGATTCCTCATTTAAATACTAGAGTTTAACCCGAGTGAAGATAAGTGTGTGTGATTCCTCTTATTATTCACTTGATAAATGCTTCTTCCCCTCTCCTTTGATTTCTCCTAAATTCAGCTTCCCCTATATTTCTACATCCTTCTCTCCTTCTTCCTCCTCTTAAGTTGATATCCTAGACTACCCCGGGTCTCGGGTACAACATTTGGTATCAAAGCTTGTTGTTGAACATCTCTTTGAAGACCATAAACACTTCCCTCTCATCCTCTCTTTCTCTCCCAATCTTGATCCTGATAGCATCGATAATCGATTATCAAACTCAGATAATCGACTATCTTATCTTGCTGAATTTTCTTCACATCACCAACTACACCCCTCTTTCCCTACACCTGGTTCTTTTAAACCATGTCTCACACAACTCAAAACATGTCCCAAGAAGAGCTTATAGCTTCAAATGCATAATTAAAGGCTCAAGTTGAATACTTGGCAAAAGAAGTAGCAAAGCTCGCTAAATTCAAGTTGAGTATGGTTCAAACTCCCGAAGAAAGTGAAGATGAAGATGATGCTAGTTCTGTTGCTACCATAAGAGCTAGAAATCCAGAGAAGTCAGCCTCTGATTTCAAGGTTGACATACCCACTTTCGAAGGAAAGAACGACCCTGATGACTTTCTTGAATGGTTAGAGACCGTTGAACGTGTCTTTGACTTCAAGAATGTGTCCGAAGAGAAGAAGGTAAAACTCGTGGCCTTAAAGTTAAGAAAGTATGCGTCAACATGGTGGACCAACGTCACCATTAGACGTAGAAGAGAAAACAAGTCCCCGGTGACCTCGTGGAACAAGATGCGAGCACTCTTGAAGAAGAAATTTCTGCCCGAGAACTACATACGAGAAAACTTTTCTAAGCTTCAACACTTGAAGCAAGGCTCTCGTTCTGTAGAGGAATACAACCGAGAGTTCGAGGAACTCTTATTAAGGTGTGATCTTCAAGAAGATGATTCACAAACTTTTGTGAGGTATGTATTTGGATTGAATGTCCAAATAGCTAACATTGTAGAACTTCAAGACTACCACACTCTTGACGATCTTACAAAGTTGGCTCTCAAAGTTGAAAGCCAAATCAAGAAAGGCAAGGCTGCCCAAATGAGAGCCTCTTCTTCATACCCACCTTTACTCCCCACTCCTTCATCCCCTCCACCTCCCATGTCCTCTCACCATAAACCCATACTTCCAAACCCTCCCTCAAATATCCAAAATCAACCTCGACACAATTAAAATATCAACCAAACTCCGAAATGTTATCGTTGCCAAGGCAATGGTCACATAGCTCAAGATTGTCCCAATAAGAAGGTCATGACTCTGGTGGAGTGCAATGATGATACTTTTGACCCTTCATGGGATCAAGAAGAAGAAGAGTATGTCGGACCTGATGATGGAGAGCTTTTGGTGTAACGCCCCGAAATCTGGCCCAAAAGAATTAATTAAATTTGTTAGAGCAATTGATTACGAATTGGGCCTAAAAAGGGGTTAAAATTATAATTTGGATTGGCTCACCGAGCATAGAGCAGTGGTCGACTGCAGTTGTCGGACCACACAAGGAGTTTGACATTATCCTTGGTATGGATTGGCTCACCGAGCATAGAGCAGTGGTCGACTGCAGTTGTCGGACCGTACAACTGAGAGCCGAGGACGGTAGCGACGTATCACTCTCCGGGGAGGTGTTCCCCAAGGCTCCCGAGTTCATATCGTCCTTGAGCGCATGGCGCTTGATTCGCAAGAAGTGCGAGATGTTCCTGTGTCACGTTCAGGATATGCGAAAAGAATCACCACGTCAGCAGGACATCCGTACGGTTTGCGACTTCCCCGATGTCTTTCCCGAAGACCTTCCTGGTTTGCCTCCGCCGAGAGAGGTAGAGTTCTCGATCAATCTCATTCCGGGTACGGAACCCATGTCTGCTACACCGTATCGTATAGCACCTGCCGAGATGAAGGAGTTGAATGCTCAGTTGCAAGAGCTACTGGAAAAGGGATTCATCCGACCTAGCATTTCCCCATGGGGAGCACCAGTGTTATTTGTTCGAAAGAAGGATGGATCCATGAGACTATGCATCGATTACAGGCAGTTGAACAAAGCCACAGTGAAGAATCGTTATCCGTTGCCTCGCATCGACGACCTGTTCGACCAGCTCAGAGGGGCTACGGTATTCTCGAAGATTGATCTACGTTCTGGATACCATCAGATTCCCGTTAAGAGAGAAGACATTCCGAAGACTGCTTTTAGGACACGCTATGGGCATTACGAGTTCTCAGTCATGCCTTTCGGATTGACTAATGCCCCGGCAGTGTTCATGGAGCTTATGAACAGTGTGTTCCGACCATACTTGGACCAGTTCGTAGTAGTGTTCATCGATGACATCTTGGTTTATTCACGGACTCAGGAGGAGCATGCTAGACATTTGCAA